AGAGTTGGACAGTGACTAAGCAGGACAGAAGGAGAATTGATGCCTTTGAGCTTTGGTGCTGGAGAAGAGTATGTAATGAAGATGAAATGTAAAAGATTTTTTTGAAGCAGCTAGGAGTTTGATGGGTTAATTTGTGATAATTTTTAAAGTTTCATGCCAACAGGCACTTTGTTAAGACAACAAAATGTCCTTTGGTTACTAGGTTGAGGAACTAATTTTAATCTTTGTACAATCTGCCTGCAAAGCAAGAATTCAGAAGAATAAGTTCCGGAGTTAAAAGCCAAACCACACAGATTTGGAATAAACTAAGGTTTTTACCCTTAAAATATTTGGTAAAATACCTACTTTCGTTCCTCAGTGACCTATGATAAACTCCAAAAAACCTTGAAACTTTGTGTTAAGTCACAAAAGATTTGTTTCTATTTTATAAAGAGAAAGGTGTGGCAGAATGTTTATTTAATATGTGATATGAAATGTGTTATCAAATCAGGAGAAATACCAATTTTCTTTGAATTTAAAATTTATATGTCAGTAATGTTTATTTGGTGTTAAATAATAAACACAATATATTATAATATTAATATTTTTATTTTTAACTTAGTCCCGAGTTTGTAAAGAAAACAATTTTTTTAATCTAGCATCATCATAGCCAGTAAGTTCTTCTGGGGGATTCACATCATCTACCTCATCTAGGTCCCCCTTCTGAACTCTTAAATTTTCCTTTCTTGTTAGTAGTGAGTTTCCTCTTTTCTGCTGCTGAAGCTGCTTGATTTAAACCTAGCGGGATAGCAAGATTAACCAGTCCACTCATTAGTAATCTATACCACCTTGTTTGCATGTTCCCACCCTAAAGCTACCATTCACCTCATTCACACTATTGCCATGGTCTTACCAGCCATGTGACAAAAGTTAAAGGCAACGGGCTAGGAAAATCATTTTGAATCATTAACTGTACCACAGTTTCTTCCACTCTGGGGGCGGGAGTGGGTAATTTTTTAAAGTTTGCCCAATCAGTAAATAGCATCAGCGATTTGACTAAATCTGTGATGTGAGTATGAAAAATCAGGCCCATTAGCATTTCCTATATCAAATGAAGCTCAGCTTGCTTAGTGTTAAGTAGTTGCACTGCCAGCACAAAGGTATGCGGAGCTTAGGGAAGTGATACCCAATTGTGCGCGATCTGCGCCCCCTAGTGGAGGCACGATCAAAAGAGGCCAATGAAGTGGCTGATGATAAGAAGCCTGGCTAGTTAACTCCATTGTTCCAGTCACTGTATTAGTCCATCTCAGTAAGATCTTACTTTTCTTCACTGACCCCTACTTCTCCAAACAAGATGTCCTTTTACAAGGATGGGACCTTCCTAGTAACATGCTAAAAGTAGAAGGAGCTAACTACAGAGTCTTACTGAAGAGTTAGTTAGTTTGTGCTGCCCAAGAAAAACTAATGGGAAAAGTACCAAAGAATTTTTTTTAAATATTAAGATTTCACTCAGCAATTCCACTACTGGGAATATATCCCAAGGAGACCATAACTGACAACCAAACAGATATATGCACACCCATGTTTATCGCAGTTCTGTTCACAATAGCAAGGAGTTGGAAACAACCCAGGTGCCCATCAACAAACGAATGGATAGAGAAGCTGTGGTATATTCACACAATGGAATTGCTG